AATCTAGGTTGTAGGCCTTTGTTTTTCATCACTTTGAAGACCCCCTTGCCACTCCCTTCTGGCCTGCAGAGTTTCTGTAGAAAAGTCGGCTGATACTCTTATGGGGGTGCCCTTGTAAGTAACTTGCTGCCTGTCCCTTGCTGCTTTTAGGATTCTGTCTTTGTCTTTAACCCTTGCCATTTTCACTATAATGTGTCTTGCTGTGGGCCTGTTTGGTATCATCTTGGTTGGAACTCTCTGCACCTCCTGTGCTTGTATGTTAATTTATTTTGCCAGATTAGGGAAGTTTTCAGACATTATTACTTCAAAAATGTTCTCAATCCCTTGCTCCCTCTCTTCTCCTTCTGGTATTACTACGACGCGCATGTTGTTGTGTTTGATGTTGTTGCCCAGCTCTCTTAAGCTATTTTCAATGTTTTTTCATCTTTTTTCTTTTTGTTGTTCCACTTGGATGATCTCTGCTATTTTGTCTTCTAAGTTACTGATTTGATCCTCTGCTTCATCCAATCTGCTAGTAATTCCATCAAATTTGTTATTTAATTCAGTAATTGTATTCTTTAATTCTATCTGGTTGTTTTTCATGATTTCCCTATCCTTCTTTAAATTCTCATTAATTTCCTTGAACATTCTAATAATCAGTATTCTAAACTATGTGTCTGATAGGTTTTTTACCTCTATTTCCTCTAGTTCCACTGATTCAGGAGGTTTCTTCTGTTCTTTTATTTGGGTTGTGTTTCTTTGTTTCCCCATTCTGGCTTACTCTTTGTGTTTGCTTTCATGTAATAGGTAGATCCCCTAGGTCTCTCAGTCTTTTCTGGGTGGACTTATGTGGTATGTGTCCTTTATATTTGAATTACTTAGACTTCCTTTTTCTCCTGTGTGTGTGTACCAGAGGTGTTCCTTGTGTTGTGTGTCTTTTCCTGTTGAGGTCGAGTTTTGACTGCTTTTCACTTGTCAGTAGTGGGATTGATTTCCAGGCTGACTAGCTGAGAGGGTTAGCTGTGTCCACAGTTTATGAGCTTCTGTGTGAGAGTTGACCCCTCTGATGCAGCTTGACCCCTATGGGCTCTTGTGCCTGTAGTGATTTCCCTTTGGGTGTGACTCTTGTAGGTCAGACCCTGTAATGCTCTGGTGTTATCTAAAGTTGGTCTCTGGGTGTGATGATTCTTGTGCTGCTTTGGCTGGGCCCCACTGCAGAGCAGGATTTTAGGGCAAAACAGATCAACGAGCACAACCACAACAGCCACCAAAGGTAACCAGATACTCTCTGATGTACAAAACAACCATCATCCTACACTCAACATGTACAGAAATATCAATTATACAAAAGGAAAAAACAAATCAACAGAAACAAAACAACAACGAAAAACAAACAAAACCCAAGGAACCGGTAACAAAACAAAATAAAATAAAATAAAAATAAAATAAAATGAAAAATAGAATAAACTTGAGAAACGAAATAGCAACAACCAACAAAACAAACAATAAAAATAATTGCAAAAAAATGGAAAGAAGGAGGAAAAGTAGTGCAGTAACAAGAGACCAGAAAAGAAGGGAGAGAGAGAGGGTAGAAAATAAAGAAGGAAAGAGAGAGAGAAAAAAGAAGAAAAGGAAAAAATATATGTGTGTGTGTAGATATAGAATATTAAACCCTTATCAGATATATCATTGGCAAGTATCTTTTCCCATTCAGTAGGATATCTTTTTGTTTTGTTGATAGTTTCCTTTGCTGTGGAAAAACTTTTTAGTTTGGTGTAGTCCCTTATGTCTAGTTTTTCTTTTGCTTCCCTTGCCTAGGGGGATATATCAGTAAAAATATTACTAAGGGTAATGTGTGCAAGTTTACTTTCTATATTTTCTTCTAGCAGCTTTATGGTTTTGGGTCTTACGTTTAAGTGTTTAATCTATTTTGAGTTTATTCTTGTATATGGTGTAAGAACATGGTCTAGTTTCATTGTTTTTGCATGTGTCTACCAGTTTTCCCAGTACCATTTATTAAATAGACTGTGTTTATTCCAGTGTAAATTCTTGCTTCTGTTGTCATAGATTAAATGACCATATAGGCATGGACTTATTTCTGGGCTCTCTATTCTGTTCTGTTGGTCTTTGTTTCTCTTTTTATGCCATTACTATGCTGGTTTGATTACTATAGCCTTGTAATATGATTTGATGTCAGGTAGCATAATACCTTCCATTTTGTTTTTATTTCTCAGGATTGCCATGGCTTTTGGGGGGTCTTTCATGGTTCCACATAAATTTTAGGATTATTTTTTCTAATTCTGTGAAAAATGTTATTAGTATTTTGATAGGAATTGCATTGAATCTGTATATTGCTTTAGGTAGTATGGACATTTTAACCATATTAATTCTTCCTATTTATGAGCATGGTATATGTTTCCATTTATTTGTATCATTTTTAATTTCTCTCTTCAATGTCTTATAATTTTCTGAGTAAAGGTCTTCTACTTCCTTGGTTAATTAAATTTATTCCTAAGTATTTTATTTATTTATTTTTGATGCAATTGTAAACAGGATTGTTTTCTTAATTTCTCTTTCTGATAGTTCATTATTGATGTATACAAATGTAGCTGATTTCTGAATAATAATTTTGTATCCTGCTACTTCACTAAATTCATTTATCAGTTCTAATAGTTTTTTGGTGTTATCTTTGGAATTCTTTATATATAGTATCATGTCATCTGCAAATAATGGCAATTTTACTTCCTCTTTTCCAATTTGGGTGCCTTTTATTTCTTTTTCTTGTCTGATTGCTGTGGCTAGAACTTCTAGTACTATGTTAAATAAAAGTGATGAAAGTGGGCATCCTTGACTTGTTCCTGATCTTAAGAAAAATGCTTTTAGCTTTTAGGGTGGGCACTCTTCTCTATATAAGCCTGCTTCACCTCTGCCTCAATGGAGCTCACTTTCAGTTTTCATTGAAGACTGATTCCCTGATCAAAGCTGTAACTTTGGAGCTGGATTTGTAACACAGAAGCTATCTTGCTGGAGCTGAGAGGAGCAGAGCTGTCTCACTGGAGCTGAGCTGTGACACCAGAGTTGTAATGCCTGGGTCTCCTCATCCAAGTCACCTAACCTGAGCTGTTCCACAGCTGTGTTGTGCCATAGCCATGCTATTTCACAACTGAGCTACTTCACAAACATGCTGTTCCACAAACAAGCTGTTTCACAGCTGAGTTGTTTTCACAGAATAAAGTGCCTCCCCTCACTGCACCACAAACTGGGGACTCTTCTTGGTATTGAATTGGCTCTGATGACCTTCAGTTGAAAATAGAAAGAGAATATTTGTCTAAAACTGGGTGTGTGCCAGGTTAGAAAGCCAGTGGTCAGTCAGACTGCCTCAGAGCCTGGCAGCAGTACAGAGATTTCACTGAGTTTTCCAGGATTCCAGGTGAAGGCTTCTCTTCCAGGCCTTCGTGAACCTGGCCCCATTCTTTCACTGGAACCAAACAGGACTGTAGTAAAAGAGATGTAATGTAGTACCATATCTTCTTCCTATGAAGAATAAACTTTCTCAACCATTCTGCCCAAATCCTGTAAGCTGGGGACTGTGACGACAGCTCCATTCATTCTAAAAAAGTGTGTGAGAAATATTGGCATTCAGAGCTGTGTGTTTCATTTCTAAATTAGAGACACATATATTAATTCATATTCTCACCATTTTTGTTATTATTTTGCCCTTTTTTTAATGAGGCCCCTACTCTTCAGCTCTGAGAACCTATAATTGTCATTCAGACTAAATTAATAGGAGTTTTATTGGCTCATTGTTCTTGACATCTGGTTGGAAGTGCAAAGCAATAACTATTAGGTAATGATTGCAGTAGGCTCTGATTAGAAACTAATAACATTGGCAATAAACTTTAAACGTGGTTGCCATGAGGCTTGATCAGAAGGAAAGGACACAAGGTTGCTCACATGGAGAGAGGCTGGGGCAGAGGACAGAACCCACCTCCCAGTTCTGGTGCAGTCAGCCCACCAGCATGTTATAACTATGTCATCAGCAAGAAAATCTGATTCAATAACAGGAAATAAAAATGATGGTAGACAAAAACTGCATTGCTTGAATGGGAATAAAGCAAAAGAAATGCTCTGTATTTCCCACATTTCCAAATAATTCATGAAGATTTCTAATATTCTTCTCTCAACATCTGCCTTACTTCTTCAACAAATGTACATATAGCCTGCTCTTGCTTTGGTAATTACTGACATTTATTGACTGACTCTGGGCCAGGCCCTCTTCTAAGCACTTTACATACATTATTATGTGCACACTTCACAAAAAGCTATAAGGTTCACGCTGTCATTATTCCATTTACGGATGGGGACCTGAGGCACAGAGACAGAAAGTCACATGTCCCAGGTCACTTAGCAGTATGCCTCACAGCAGTAAAATTGAGGTTGGAATCCCAGCGGTAATACCCACTACTTTAACGACTACTTCACTGCCATTCTTGCTTTCAGTTTTCAACAAGTGTTTATTGAGCACCTGCAATTTGCCAGGCATTTTTATATGAGCTATGAGGGAGGGAGAGTGGAATACAAAAAGAAAAGTAGATGCAGTCCTAGGAGCTAACCCACTCACCTGAATTATTGCAAGGGCTTTCCTAATTTCTGATCCCTCCTTTTGGCTTTTCCCTACAAGGCAAACAGAGGGATCCTGTTAAAATGCAACCCAAGTCATGTCACTCCTCAGCTCAGAATTCTCCTCTACTCCCAATATCATTCATAATAATACAGGGCAAATACAGCAGAATCATTCCTGGCCTCCAAGAACTCCCCCTCACCTGCCCAATCAGTCACATGTCTTACAACTGCCCTGCTCAGGCGGAGGTAGCTGGATGAATCTCTTCACCACTCTGCAAACAGAGCTGCACCTATTATTCCAGGGCCTTTGCACTTGACATTCCATCCATCTAGAACACTCTCCCTAGGATGCTTCTCCCATTACTTCTGTTTTCTGTCCCTTTTCTTCTTCAGATTTTGCTGAAATGTCACGTTACATTGAAGCTGTCTCTGAACATCCTTTTAAAAACTGTAAACCCCTTCCACAATGACACTTTCTTCTCCTTTCTTGTTTTATTTTTGTCCCTGGCAACATCTACTATCTAGCAAACTATGTGTGTTAGTTTAGATGGTTAGTTGGTAAGTTTTGGGTTAGTTAAATTACGTAACTAAAGTACATTTCATGAAAACAGCAGAGTGTATCTATTTTGTCCACTGCTATATTTGTAGTGCCTAGAATGGTGTCTGGCATATAGTAGGTACACAACTCATATTTGTTGAATGAATAAACATATCTTACCCTCAAAGATCTTAATCTGTTTAGAAAAATAAGCTGTACTTTCCACAGCCTCTGCCTGGAAAACAATAGACATTATACGTACTACACATAAGCCAAACCCACGCAGCAAGTTAGTCTCAGGGTTAGTGCTTGGGGAGATTACAAACTGGAAGTCATGTGAGTCAACAGCAGTATAAGGTCTTTCAAGAGTCAGAAGTGGAGATATCCTGTGGAAGGAAATAAAGAGTTGAGCATAAAAGCAAAAGCATATATTTGGTTTAAATCCCAGCCTTTCTACTTACTAGCTCTGTGGTTGTTCTTTGGAGCACATGAGCAGGTTATCCAACCTCTCTGAGTCTCAGTGTCCTTGTCTGTAAAATGACAACAATGTCCACCAAATAATGTTGTGAATACAAAACGCAATGACAAACAGCCTGAATTCACCCTCACACGTTGTGCTCAACAATGTCAACTGTACTTTTCCTTCTCTTTGAAACATTGAGAAGAGTTGGAAAAGGCAAGAGGGAGTAGCCAAGATAGCCAAAAGAGCTGAAGCAAACCCAGCTGGCCCTGAAAGAAAACAGAAATTCAAAGATGGGAATTGAATTTGTTTCCTGAAAGCAAAAATCTCAAGAATTTAGTTCATCTACTCCAACTTCAGTGAGGACCAAACAAATTCAAATAAGCCTGATGCCAGTAGGAGGTGTTAAGCTTAATGTCAAGTGTTTGTAGCATCATTTTGCCCCTTACACAATACCAACATTTTCCCCTAAAGTTTCATAGCTGAATGTGTTTTGTCACCAATCACACCCAAAGTTCCTCTGTGGGGACAGGATCTGGTCCCTCTTTTGTGTAACACTAACAATTTCCATGCATCTAGCTATTGCACAGGCATCAGTTCATTGAACCTCAAAGTGACCTTATGAGGTGAGCACAAGGAACAAGGGTCAGAGTTAAGTTCCTATCTTACAGAGGAAGAAACTGAGACTTAGAGTGATTTGATGTTTCATCCATGCCCCCAGGTCTAGTGGGTAGCTAACTCTGGACTAGAACCAAATGGCTCTGACTTACATCTAATGCCCGTTCCACTGCGTCATGAATCATCTGTATATCTCAGCACTCAGGTGCTTCTAGATGTGAATCAAACTGAATTGATGTACATAAAAGTTACCTGACAGTTACTATTGCCATTCATTGGTATGTACTAAATGCTAGGAATAGTCCTAGTTGCATTGCACACACTGTTTGCTTTTCTAAACTTCAACACAATATTATGGGTATTACTGCTCACCCCCACAGTCCTCTTTAAAAATAAGGAAATTGAGACTGAGAAAGGTTAAGTAACTTTATCAGGGTCATGCAGCTAGAAAGCGATAGAAGTGGGATGAATACCAAGTGACCTCAAAATCCAACTCTTTCTACTGAGCTGGGACATCTCTTGATGCTACACAGAGAAGGGCCACCGGAGGAGTTTAGTGACCCCCTCCTCTGCAAATCTCTGCAGGAGGCTGCTCTGGGCACAGAAAAGGAAGCTAACTGCCACAGCCACTGGATTTCTATTTCTGAGCCTAGAAGGTGGTGTTAAACACTTTGAACTACATTTGAAAGCCAGTTCCACAAGGTAAAAAAAAGATCTTGGTTAACTTAACCAAACTTCATTTACACTGGTTTTCCAATCTATTACATAGGGCTGCTGGTACATACCATATAGGGTTGTTGTGAGAATTTGTGAAGTAATCAGTGCAAATCACTAAGCACTGGGGTGTGAAAGGCACTTGATTCCGTTCTGCTCTTCCCACATAGAAGAAAGAATGGCACCAGAGGCTGAGCGGAAGAGTGGGAGAGAGGGTTATATTTAGCAGGAGCCACTAGCGAAAGCCTGAGGGGAGATGGGCTGGGCCGACGGAGAGAATGGCGGCGGTGAAGGCAATGGAGTGGGGCGGGGAGGCCTGAAGACCTGTGTCCGTCCTTCCCCAGCAGCAGGACATGACATGCTGACATTTCCAAGCAACCCTATTTGTGGCTTTTGTCATGGTCTGTCCATATTCAGGCCAGGAACACATACAGGACCAAGCCTGTCCAGACCTTTCTCCTCCCACAGAAACCCAGCCAGGGCTCCCTGCTTCATCACGGTCTGGAAGTGGCCTCAGACCCACCATCTCCCCTGGAGTTTATTGAGTTCCACAATTGCAAACTGACCTCCCTCTTGCTGGTTCCAGCCTCAAGCTTCTCATCAAGGGTTTGATTATCCCTCTTCCTCATCAAAACTGGACTGCTTTCCTGTTTGAGGCAGCATTGTACAATAACTGGGGGTGGGTAAATTGAGGCACAAGAGGTGGCCATCTCTATCCTTTGCAAGTCCGCATCATCACCCTCTTCCATGGGTTGGAAGGACAGGGAGCCCACAGGGACTTGAGCCATCTCACTGGCTTCCAAAGCTGCTTTTCTCTGTCACCAACACCCCTTACCCCTTCATTTAGTAGACAGCTGCCTACCTGTCCATGCAGAAGACACAGCCTTCTCCTGAAACTTGGCATCAGGCCAACTCATCATCCCCCGGGTTGGCCTAATATACATGACTAATTTTGAGCATTTCTGGTCCTGTTTCCCTCCCTGAAAGCTGCCACATTTAGCATGGTGTATTAAGTCCCAGTTATGTTGACAGTCCTGAGGTCTCTTCAGAGGCAAGGTGGAGCCCCCAGTGGGCTATTACGTGCAGATGTGAGATGCACAGAGGCATCCCAGCCAGAACAGTGGAATTGAGGGCCTGCAGAAGGTTGGGACACTCCCTTTTCAGTAGGACTCTGATCTTGTTTTAATTGTAATTTTGATAAAGCACCAGCTTTTTGACAAGTGAAGACAGATTGACTGAAAACAAATCCTCTTGGAGAGTTTATAGTCTACAGTTAGTCCCACCAAGTGACTTGTTTCTTCCCCTCCTCCACACCACCCAGGCACCAAATGGTTCCCCAGAACCACAAGCACAGATGGCCCTGCTGCCGTGAATGTGCCACAGCGTAGAAGGAAGGAATGGAAGTGGAAACAGAACAAGGCCTTTACAATCAGGAAGACCCGGGCTTGAATTCTGACTTCATTTATAACCTGGGTGACTGGGGACAAACTGCTTCATCCATCTCTCTCTGAGTCTTGGGGTCCAGGTATAAATGGGGCACAAGATCAGTCCCCATATGTGGTTGCAAGGATTAAAGCCCAGAGGTTAGGGGGAATGCATGTTTTTTCACACATCAAAGGGCTATTGAGGAAGATGTTGAAGGTGATGACATAGCAGGTGCCTTGTCAGGGTTAGATCAATGAAGTTGGAGAACCCTGGCATCACTGTGCCCAGGCTCTGAGGCAGTGGTGGTCAGCTGCTTTCCAGCCAGTGCTCTCTTACCTATCAGCAGCATGGCAATTCATTTTGGTGAGATCCTGGAGAGACAACCCACTTCTATCAAAAAGTCTTCCCTCTGAACTTGGAGCTAAAAGTCCTCCATAAGAATTTCACTGTGGAGTTGTAGCATCAATTCCTGTTGGAAGAGGTCAAAGAATAATGAGTCCAAGAAACAGATGCCATAATATCCCCATTTCCCAACCTGCCATAACATCCTATTACCAACAAGATAGAGTGAAACTCCTTACCAGAACTTTTGATTCTCTTTAAGATCTGGCCCCAATATGTGTTTCTGGACTCAGCTCCTTTTATGACACTTTTACAACTTTTACATCATTTGCTTAACTATCTATCATTCCCCAAACCTGCCATGCCCTTCCATATCTCCATGGTTATCCCCTTGCAGTTCCTCTCCTGAAACCCTTCTTCTGCTTGTCTATGTCAGGAACTCACGTGTAAGTCCCAGCCCCAAATCTCAGAATCCCTTGCAGGCAGGGCCTGCCTCTGGCCAGGGCCAAGGAAAAGTAGGGAAGGGAAGAGGCGACTGTCATTTCCTGAATACTTGCCACCATGTTCCAAACACTGTGTTTGATGATTCATGTAAATATACTCATCCCATTTTAATCTTAAGAACAACCCTTGGAACGATGTACCATTTCAATTTTGTAGAAGAGATAACTGAGATGTAAGAAGTTAAAGTAACTTCTTGCCCAAAGTCCTGCTGTTAGAAATTATAACAGGGAGAGCTGACCCCAAACACAGGGTGCTTATCTGCCCATTATATCACACTGCCCCTCCTCACTAGACTAAGAATTTCAAATGCCCAAAATGGATAATTACAAATTACAACTTATGGTCTCATGGCCATCTCTTGTTCTGGGCACTGGCTATGAACTCACTTCTTTGTATCTGCCCAGCAGCCACCCAGAAGAGTAACTCAGCTCATCCTTGCTTTTCCCTCTCTTGACAACTAGTGCCAAACAGTCCCAAAGACACTAGACTTTCTTGAAGTCACTGACTTCACAGGTGTTACCTAAGACCTTCCATTGCCAAGAGTGTCTACCTGTACTTCTTAGGTTAGAGAAGAAAGGAGGGAAAATACCTACTGGTGAAAGCAGACATCACCAAGGCTCAATTACATGGCAATACTTTTTGGGGAAGTGGGAAAACAGAACGGGCACATTTCAATCACTGGATGATGCTCTCTGGACTATAATTCCAAGCCTTCTTCACAGGTTCTTCTTCTCCACTGTGCAGGGGTTCTGTCTTGTCTCTTCTGCCCTTTTCACTCCAAGTCTGCTCCATGCTTCTTACTTTCTTCTCACAGGGCTCCAGGATCCTGATTTTAGCTCCCACACTTACATCTCCAGCCCTAATTCCTTCACTCCAAACCTGTGATTCCCACTGCTACTAGATATATTCTCTGGAGTGTGCCAGAGGCACCCACAATTCAACAAGTCCAAAAACAACCTTGATAATCCTTCTTCCTATTCAACAAACACTTCTTTTTCTTCATTCCTTTTTCTTATATGGCAATACTCACCAAGTTGTGCAAATCAAAAATCCAGGAATCATCCTTGATCCCTCCACCTTCTTCCTCACCCATATCCAATCAGTCACTGAGTTCTGCAGATTAATATGTCTAATTTCATCTATCTCCCCTCTCTTTTTGGACCACTGCTGTAAATCAGGATTGATGTCTTTATTGGCCTCTGTGCCTCCTGTTTCATCCCCTCCGTTTATGAGTCACAGCAATGGTAGGGGCTCCTTTTTGAAACACAAATCTGATTTTGTACTCTCTTACCTAAACAAATCAGCATCTCTCCACAGCCTTCAGACTCCTTAGATACACACATGATACCCTTAAGTATCTGACCACTCCTTGCCTGTTTAGCCTTATTTCCTATGACACTTTCAGTCACCACTCACCCAGTATGACTCACAGTTCCCCAACCTCTGAGCTGTTTCATGCTTGTCTTTGCACACATGACCTTTTTTGCCTGAGGTGCCTTTCTCACCCTGCCACTGACCTGCATTTGGTCAACTCCTACTCATTCTTCAAAACTCAGTGTAAAGGTGGCCTCCTATGAAGGGCCTTGAATGGTGCCAGTTTAGATTTAGAAGGCTCACCCTTACTTCCCATAACTGCAGGTTCACTCCTGTCATAGAACACATGCCATCTTCCTGCAATCTGCTTTCACACTTTAAAACACAGAGGCTCTGTTTGGTTGATCATTATATCCCTCCTGACTACCATAGTTCTTGGCACAGGGCCAATTAATACATGTTTACTGGATGCATGAAAGAGTAAATAAACAAATAAAGGAATGAATCCAGGGACCATCTAAGAACTCCACTAAGGTGAATGTTCCTAAAAGAAATGTTCTGATAGCAAAATCACTATTTTTTCATAGCTGTTGAAACTCCCAGGCACTTTGACCTTCTCTTTTAAGCAAATAAATTTGGGGTTCTGGTCACACTGGCCCTGGAAGGATGAAGGAAAAGAGGAGTCTTTCAAATGGTGCATTGTTTTCTCTGTTTTCTTACCTGCCAAAGCTTAATTCAAAGTTCAGATGCACCTGGGGAGAACCAAATGCAAAGTATGTCCCATACAGGAAAGTGGAGCCCTTCATACAGAGTTGTGAGAAAGGACACTTTGTTCATCTGGTGACTTTGCTTAAAGCTTTCTGGTGACTTTGCTTAAAGCTTTCTTGGAGTTGCTCCCAGACATTCAAATTCAGAGGGTTTTGAGGAGGGGCCCAGAAAATGCATTTTTAGGAGCAAATAATGCCAGTGTTTCTGATGCAGGTGGTATGTGAAACACTTACAAAATGTTGCTTTAGGTATTTAGAAAACAATCCTAAGCCAAATGTAATTTGCTGTGATTTTCAGAGGCCTGCTCTGGAGTGAAGTACGCTAAAGATCAAATATATTTGATTTTCAGTTCAGAACTAATGGGAGCAATCACTTCTCAGCATACAGAGCCCGTTAGGAGAGCAGATGAGCTAAGTATTTAGCAGATCCAGATGTATTTAGAACATTGTTTACAAAGTCTCCCTGCAGGGAGGACTAAAAACAATTCTACTCCAGAGAGAAAGGGAGAGAACTTATCCCCGTGAGCTCACATACACACAACTCACGTGGACACCTTCACCTCACCTTCTACAAACACACATACCCTGTGAAATTTATTTTACCCTTTAGGGTAAAAGTTAACCCAACTTAGAATAAAATAAAATATAGAAACTCTCTGGAGCTTCTCTTTTCTCCATACCTACACTGAGTCTTTTTGTTTCTTTGTCTGCCTGGTTCCTTTGTTTTTGCTTATTTGTTTGCACTAGTGATAATAGGGTGATCATTGTGTCCAGATATGGACTTGAGCCCCCAGCCGTTTTCCCCAGCTCAGAATCCAAGAGAGTCTTCTGTAGGCAGTCCAAGACTGCTGAGGCCAGTTCTTTTACTTGCAAGCATTCAAATTTCCTCAGAACTCCATCAGAATAAATATGTGCATCAAAAAACATCAAATTAATGGTATAATGATTTGCAGCAATAATGCACACAATATATCCTCACCACTGTGCCTAACCAAAGATTTCTGACCATGTCCACTTGATGGATGCTGGTGTTTAACCCTGAAGTCAAAAGAAATTAAAGGCAGGGGAATGTTGAGCCAGAAAGAGAAGCTAACATAAAGCAAATGCGTTTTCTCTTTTATCCTACAGTGAGAGGAGCCTTTAATCATTGACTTTTTAAATCATGGCATAATTATTCCTTCCTAGATTTTAGGCCTTCTTGTCTACTTACAACAAAACAACATGTTTTGTTTCTATAGGATTTATAGTTCTGCTAGCACAAATAAATTAGCATAAATAAAATGATTAAGCCATCATATAGTCAGACCTTTCTGAGAAAACCAATTGTATCCCCAATAATAATAATATTGAAAATATTTCTGTTTCCACTTTAGGCTCCAACCCATCTTTCATCAGGTCTCTGAATGACTGGCTTCTTAGCAAAGCAACTATGATGGCAATTGCAATAACTAATAATACCAATAACATGTTTAAGATTCCTACATGTAAAGCTATGTTTTAAAATTTTTATTTATATTGACCACACAGTCCTTACCACAACACTGCAAATTTTACAGATGCAGCTTCTGAGGCCAGAGCAGTCACCAAACTGTAAGTCATCAAGCATCTAAGCAGTAAGACCAGGATCAGGAGGCCAGTCCAGGCAGGTGGTTCCTTAGCCTGTTCATACCCCCAGCTCTCCACCACCTCTGGTGACTCAAGTTCATGCTTCCAGTGGAGGGGTTCATAATATCATTAGCCCTAGCCTTTCATCGACCTTCACAGAGTGAAGCAAGTGCAAGATACAGGCCTTAGGCCCAGATCTTTACCAAATCACACAGTAAACTGAATCTTAACAGAGGCATTTCAATAGTTTCCCTGTCATACAGAGATAATAGACTTACCTCCTCCAGAATGTTGATATGGAGCTAAAAAGTGTGGTCTTCAAACTGAAGATCTAGTTCTTAAAAGATAATTACTTTTACCACTTCAAATCCTTCTTGAAAGTATACCTTTTTTCCCCTCAGCTGTCAGACAAATGTTAACCAATTTAATGGAAACAGAAAAGCATGGGAAGAAGGGTGGAAGAAAAAAAGGAGAAACTACAATAAAAACAAAACCCCACAGTTAAGAAAGGCAAATCTGAGATTAGAACCCAATCTCTCATATTCCAAAACCCAATATGAGAAGAAATTATTTTGCATGCATTTTAATTTAGTTTTGTGGTAGTTTTTGAAATGTAATTTTTTTTTCTTTGAACATTTAAGAGGTAACTTCACCCTTGGGAAAACATTACTCATGTCATGGGCATGTTAGAGGTAAATGGGGGAATCACAATAATCAATTCATGAAAGACACACTCAATATAGCAGAAAGGTTTTGGTTAAATACAGTTGCTCCATGAAGGCGTACCTGATAAAAACATACAAATTGAAATGAAGTGGTGTGCTTCAGCTGAGAGCAAAGCCATGTGCCTTTCTAATTTCACACCCTATCTCAGTTTTGTTATTTCTGCAGGAACAATAATGCCACCACTCCAGAACCCAAGGCTATTGGGAG